AAATTAAGACTAATAACTGTCCCTGAAGTGTGGAGGCTCAGCCATGGATATGACATAGTCCATCACCAAGAGTTTCATGCCTCAGGTCACAGAACTGATGATCTGTACCTCTTTTTTTTTTTTTTTTTTAAGATTTTCTTTATTTATTTGAGAGAGAGAGAAATCCAGCATGAGCAGCGGGGAGGGCAGAGAGAGAGGAAGAAGTAGGCTCCCCACTGAGCAGGGAGCCCAATTCAGGGCTCAGTCCCGAGCTGAAGGCAGACACGCTTAACCAACTGAGCCACTCAGGTACCCCATCTTTTTTTTTTTTTAAGTAGTCTCCACATCCAGTGGGGAGCCCAACACAGGGCTTGAACTCAATGACTCTGAGATCAAGATCTGAGCTGAGATCAAGATTCAGATGCTTAACCGACTGAGCCACCCAGGTGTCCCTCAGACTTATATCCCTTATGTAAAATATCCAGTGCCCTTACATCATTAAAACCATTTCTTTCCTATTTCATACATCTTCTGGTGCTGTATTCTTTTCTCTTCCTTGGTAAGACATAAAAGAAGACACATAGGTGAATAAGAACATGTTTGTCTTTTCAGAAGTCACTCAAGTTTAAGGATGTGGCTGTGAAGTTCTCAAAGGATGAATGGAAGCAACTGGTCCCTATTCAGAGGGGTCTTTACAGGGAGATGATGCTGGAGAACTATCAGAGTTTTGTTTCTTTGGATAAGCATGACTTTCCTCGGTGACTCAGAATCTGCCGTTGGGTGTGTGTGTAAACATGGCCCTACTTTTCTTACTGGGGCAGAATTATACATCTTTGGATAGATCCCTGGGAAGAGTGTAAATGATTTGTGGGTTTATTTAACTTTTGTTGTTTGTGTTTAACTAATGGCTCTCAGGACTGTCAGTAAATGGCTTTTTTTTTTTAATATTTTATTTATTTGTCAGAGAGAGAGAGGGAGAGAGAGTGAGCACAGGCAGACAGAATGGCAGGCAGAGGCAGAGGGAGAAGCAGGCTCCCTGCCGAGCAAGGAGCCCGATGTGGGACTCGATCCCAGGACGCTGGGATCATGACCTGAGCTGAAGGCAGCTGCTTAACCAACTGAGCCACCCAGGCGTCCCAGTAAATGGCCTTTTTGATCTGGATAGAGTCTGTAGGGTAAGTGAAGTTTGGTCTGAGACCCTAGATTTAAGCAAAAAATTATATTATATAAAATGGAAAATAGGTAGCCCCTTTCCTGGGGATTTTCATAAGGGGGGAAAATCAGATAACTGTTTATCTGTGTTTTGCCTAAAATTGTGAAACAATGGAAACAGTGCAGGCACTTGGGAATAGGGATTTATGTAAATGAATCATCGTACATCCATAATGGACTACAGTATAGTATGGGCCTTGACCATGAATGATATTTATAGAGTTAGCAAGATATTAATGATATCCTGTTAAATGATAAAAGCAGTGTACAAAATGATTGGAACCGAAGTACATTTACAACATATATCTATATGCATAGAAAAAGTCTGGAAGAATCTACACCAGAATTTTACCCCTAATTATCTTTGACTAGTATGCTTACAGGTAACTTTTTCTCTTTTTTATATTTCTTAATTGTCTACAACGAACATAAATTTTTTTTTAATTTAAAAAATTAAAGGCAAAGGGAGAGCAAGAGAGAGAATCCCAGGCAGGCTCCATGCTCAGCACAGAGCCAGACACGGGGCTCGATTTCACAACCCTGAGATCATGACCTGAGCCAAAATCAAGAGTTAGATACCCAAATGACGGAGCCATGCAGGTGCCCTGAACATGAAATATTTTTAAAGCTACAAAGAAGATGAGGAAACATTAAATGCATAGTGATTAACAACAAATTTAGTACAGTGGTTGCCTCATGGTGGGGAGGAAGAGGGAGTGAGGGAGGGGCTTCAATCTTAGTTTTAACGTTTATTTCTTAAGTTAGATGATTGGTTCGTAGGTGTTTGTCTTAGTCTTTATGCCTTTTGTATGTCTTAAACATTTAGTAATGCATTTAAAAACTAAATATAGAAAATGTATATATGTCACTATATAAATTTATATATATGACATTTATAAAAGTCACTACTTTAAATCATCAAAAGCCAAAGACATTCTAATATTTCTTTTTAAGGATTTCTAAAAAATTGTTTACTAATGTTTTCAGTTTTAAGGATTAATATTAACTGCATGTAAGCTGAATAATATTCCTTAAACTGTTCCACCTTAATTTGTAGTTGCATCAGATTCAGTATAATTGCACAGAAGTGTAATTAAGGGATACAAATCTTTTTTTTTTTTTTTTTTTTTTTTGAGAGAGAGATAGAGCACAAGTAGGCAGAGTGGCAGGCAGAGAGAGAGGGAGAAGCAGGCTCTCTGCTGAGCAGGGAGCCCAAAGTGGGCCTTGATCCCAGGACCCTTGGGATCATGACCTGAGCTGAAGGCAGCCACTTAACCGACTGAGCTACCCAGGTGCCCCGAGGGATACAAATCTATTATTTAAAAAGCTACAAAAGAAAGTAGGGTATCTTCTTCACCTTAGTTCCTTGAGGTCCGGAACCTTCTCCACATTCCACTTCTCTAAACTAAGAATTTTCCCTCAACTCACCAGAATACTAATTCCATCTGGGGGAGGTTCCTAGATCAGGGCAACTACTTCAATAGATCTAATTCAGATTTTCTAAAAAGTCAGTACTGATTTCCCTTCAGAGAAGGAGAATAAGCATCTTAGTTTAGAAATTAGCATATGCTTTTTGGATACTTCCATTTTCCTCTCTAGGGACTTAGAGGATCTTATTAAATCCTGGGATGGTTGTGAATTTCCATCCCAAACAGCCGTTTCTCATTTTGTCTTTTGCAAGCAGGACTTCTAGTTCCTAAACCTGATGTGATTTTCCAGTTGAAGAGAGGTGAAGAGCCATGGAAACGTGATTTTCAGAAAGATGAAGAAAGTCAAGTCCCAGGAAGCACTTTTCTAGGTATGTGTGAACTGGGCAGTTGGGATTTTGCGGGACAGTTCACTTACGGAGCACTCCTTGGGCTAGCCATAGGCCTGTGGAGAATGGTCACTGCTGTACTGGGCCTTTGTCTGGAAAACTCAGGCCCAGAGAGCCACATGGTTTTCTTGTCTCCTTTATGAGGTTTATGCTCAAATGCGCTGTCTTCTCAGTCAAGACTGCCCTGATGACCCAGTCTAGAACTGAACTCTCTCCATCTCTTTCCTCCTCCCCTGCACTACCTAGCTCATTTCTCAGTGTGTCCTCCTAATGTACCATATTTTTACTTGTTTGTTTCGTGTTTGTCCATACCTACCCTGATGAAAATATAAACTCCATCAGAGGTTTTATGTGGTTCACTACTGGACTCCAGTGTCTGGAACAGTACATGGTATACAGCACTTAGGTACTTGTCAGATGAACAGACAGACATCAGGGTCCCACCTGTTGGGGGTTTGGGGGGAGTGGGCTGAGGGAAGGGTTGAGACCCATTTGTATTTAACTCTGATAACACTTTTTTATCTTTCCTACTTACCTTTTACCTTATCTCTTTCCTCTTCCCTTAAAAACCATTGTCATTGACAGTTCACTTTCTTGGGTCCTAGCGGATCTTCCCACTTACTCGCTGCTGTTTAGACTCACAGACATGTAGTAAACTGAGCAGTCAATTCCATGCTTCTTCCTTGCTTTTCTGCATGTACCTCTCCCTGATATGTTCTTTTAGTTGTTCGCATGGCTCACTTATCTTCCAGAGCTCTACTTAAATGTCACTTCTAGATGACCATTCTTAAGTTTTCCCTCTAAAGAAGACCCCATCCCAACTTCCATTCATTTATTTCCTTTACTGGACTTACCATAAGTGTTCCATTTTATTTGTTTACTCTCTGTCTTCTGTCGTGTAGGATATAAGCATCATGAGGGCCGGGCCATATCTCTCTTGTTCAGTAGAGTCCCAGTGGCTTCTTAGAGCACTGTGTAGGCATCTAGTAAATATCTAATGAATGAACAACAGAAACATGGGTGGTGGGCTAATGCATACCTTCTACCTCTCTTCTCTGTTCTAACTCTGCCATTTTTCAGCCTCTCTGTGATGTTTTTCTTTTGAGGAGTTACCAATAAACCAGGCAGTATTTTGTATTCATCCTTTTCTTTTCTTTTTTTTAAGGTTTTATTTATTTGAGAGCTTTGGAGAAAGAGAGAGCACAAGCCAGGGGGAGAGGCAGAGGGAGAAGGAGAAGCAGACTCCCCACTGAGCAGGAATCTTGATATGGGACTCGATCCCAGGACCCCAGGACCTGAGCCGAAGGCAGACACTTAACCAACTGAGCCACCCAGAATGAACTCCTGTTCATTCTTTTCATAATATAGATAATGTTCTCTTTTTCACTAGCATCAAGACCCAGTTATATCTGTAATTTCTATTTGTTTTAGACCAGAATGCTAGACTTGAGAGCCAGGACCCAACTCAAAGGCAGGATGTTTCTAAAAAAGCAAAGTCACAAAAGACATTAATGGAAACACTGAGAAAAGATGGTCCTCTGGGTCTTATACTTGGCCCAGAAAACCTTGAGGGCACCAAGAAAGAACATCTTTCAGGGAAATCTTTGAAGAAATCCTCCTCCAAGGAGGACTCGCAAAGATCCACTCCTGCCAAGAAAACCAACAGTAAGGGGAGAAACCTTGAATGCAGTGTATGTGGGAAGACCTTATATAACCACTTATCCCTCACTCGTCATCAAAGGACCCACATGGGAGAGAAGCCCTATAACTGTCAAGAGTGCAGGAAAGCCTTCAGCTAAAGAAGTAGTCTTAAGAAACACCTGATGTCTTACAGTGGGAAGAGCCCCTTTAAATGCAGCGAATGTGGGAAAACATTCTATGATCGATTAACCCTTACTGAACATCAGCAAACTCATACGGGAGAGAAGCCCTTTAAATGTCATGAATGTGGCAAGGCTTTCTTTGTCCGTTTGTCTTTTACTAGGTATTGGAGAAGTCACACTGGAGAAAGTCCTTACGGGTGTACAGAATGTGGGAAATCCTTTAGCCAGAAAAGCATCCTTGCATGCCACCGGCTCACTCACACTGGAGAGCGGCCTTACGAATGCCAGGGGTGTGGCAAAGCCCTGGTTGACCGCTCCTCCCTCATTCGCCACCTCAGAGCACACACGGGAGAGCGCGCTTTCGAATGTCATGAGTGCGCGAAAGTTTTCTTTGACCGCTCATCCCTTAAACAGCATCAGAAAATTCATAGTGGAGACAAGCCCTATAAACGTATCGACTGTGGGAAAGCCTTCCTCCAGAAGAGACCCTTTACTCAGCATCAGAGTGCACACCGGAGAGAAGCCCTATGAGTGCAGCGTGTGTGGGAAGGTGTTCCGATGCAAGTCCTCCATCATCCAACACCAGCGACCTTATGCCAGCCAGGCTTCAGAGTTTCACAGACATGCTTCTGTCCTGCAAGGGACCCCCACAGAGACTTAAGACACCTTTGTGCAAGAAAAGGAAGCTTTTCTGTTTGAGCGCTAACTTCTGCTTATTCTCATGCCTCCGTTTGGTCTAGAGTCTCAATAAATAGTCCCAGGGGACCATGCCACAGACTTCCCCTGGGATGCCTCATACTTTATATAATACTCTCACAATCCCCAGAGGAGTCAGAAGCTCTCCAATCAATATGTTTTGTAAGTGTTTGAATGGGACCCTAAGATAAGCTTTATTTATTTATCTATTTATTGAACGGGAACTATCTCATATCTGTGCACTGCCGCATCCCCAGTGTAGTGCCTGCCACTTACGACATATTTTCTCAATATGTGAAAACCTCTCTGATCATGAGAACTTGAGTCCCTAGTCTCTAGTCTCTAGTCCCCAGTATTTTCTAGAACTAGACACTTTAGTAAGAAAATCAACATGAAGCTAGGAAGTATGCAGGACTGTAAATACCTTCACTGTAATGGTGCTGTTAGCTCCTAATCCACACTTCTTGGAGGTTCCTGGAGCCCTGGTTTGTGTATGCACGTGAACTTCGCTCAGGATCCTTCGTTTCCCTGACCTTGGGCTCTTCCGCCCTCTAACCTGACTGTTGCGCTCTAGTAGACTAGCCCATCGCCCTTGTTTCTAGGTTAGTGGTTGTGTTTTTGTTTTATATTTGTTTAATCTCATTGATAAGTAAAATCCCTTAGCCTGGTTCTGCCGTTCCATCCATACCCTGGACACACCACCTTCCCTTTCTCGTAATGTATTTGTGTATAAGGGAAAAATAATACACACCAAAGGTTCAAAGTCCAGTTGCAAGCCAGCTGTAGCCATGGCAGCTGGGTGGGGTTCCAGGCTGAAGAAGTCAGCCACAGTGAACCAGGAGATGGGCTATGTCTAGTCTCAAAGAATATCACAAAGCCAAAGTTAACTCCAGGCATAGCTCGTCCGTGAGTTCTCATCCTTCAGTACTAAGGCAGCGGACATGAGGATGTAACTGAGAGCCAGGCCATCACATCCTATTAGACATGATGTCCTTCTTGCCAGAACATCAGTATGCGTGAAACCAAAATCCACACTGTCCTATCCACACCTACAGTGGTGACATAGATTGACTTCCTCACACCTACCTCTTGGGAATTCCTCAGTAATAAAGCAATAACTCCAGAGAGCAGCTGAGAGAACACGAGCACTTAGATGAGGAGGAGGACAGATTCCTCACATCTAGGTGGGTTTTTTTGAAAAGCACAGTTGTTCTAATTTCTTATACCATATTGGTATTACAATGGATGAAGGATAGAGAAGTAGCATCGCACTCTCTTCTTTCGTCTTATTAATGGACGGCAATCAGCAGCCATCTTGTGACTTTGAGGATCTAAGCCATGCCTAAAGGATGGAAAAGGAGAAAAAACAGAAGACATCTGATTCCTTGATGATCTTATGGAGATTCCATACCAGCTCTAGACTGCCTACTTCTGATCTTGCATGAGAGAGAATAAACCCTTATGTATTTAACCGCTATATTCACAGCCAAAGGAAATTCCTGTTAAAGTTGATGGGCAAAGAGAAGCAGAAGCAGTGTATCTGATCCGATTCCTCTTGTTTCCTTCATACATTCAGGTTGCTTCATCCAGCCACCCCTAGGGAGGCCAGATCCCACAGCCCACTGGGTGGCAAACGTGGAAGTGGTACAAGGAACGAGAAACTTGAGCTGTGCAGTTGTTTGGCCGGTGGCAGGTGATGGGGAGAGACTGACACCCCCAAAGAGGTAACTGTCCAGCTGAAGCTGATGCAGGCAGATGTGCAGTGGGTTCATAGGCTCAGGCAGCTGAGGTGGAGCAAAGTGCTGAGGGTATGTGCAAAGGCCCGAAGGTAACATGTAACTAGACTAGGCACACACTCATGCCTGATTTATTGCCTTTGCTATTTATTTCACTCCAAGTTTGATTGCCTGTCTGCAGTCTGCCTTCTTCTCTCCCTACCCGAGACCTGTAACACCTCTCTCTTCTGTTGAATCTCATGTCCCTGGGACTTCCACCTGTTTGCCACTCAAATCCCACCTTTACATTTTCAGTTTGGCCCTCTCCAGTGACGACTAAAGGTTTCCTTGTTGTGATCACTCTGCGTATCAGTTTTCACCTCAAAGTAAATGGCCTGTCAAGGTAATGTAGCCTCTAAGGAATGCAAAGATGCTTTCCTGGTGGGATGTTGTGGCAAACACAGAGACAGACTAGAAGGAAACAGAAGCCCTCACTAAATTTAGGAAAACCCTTAAGAGACTATGGGGACTCACTGGGGACCAATGGATTTTTATCTTAAAGTGTTTCAACTCCACTCTACTATGGAACACTAATTTATGTACTTGGGCCAGCTGGTATTGTCCAGGACTATGTGATTTGTAAACTAAGGCCTCTGTAAATAAAAGTAGGGTTATGAAGGAAGTCCAAGTTTTCCAAAAGCACACAAATATGAAAACCAAGAAAAGCAATGAGGGCAATATTAGTTTCAGGCATTTACACCTTCTCTACAAGCACAGAGAAGAGTGTACTCGGTTATTGATCATCTAAGGAGCAGTAAATGCTCTGGGATACTCCTCCCATGGACCTTAATCTGTGGCGTACGTGCGTTGGGAGACACCCAATAAACAAAATTAATTATACGTTAGAAAGAGATAAGTACTGTGGAAAAAAATAAAGAAGTGGTCAGCGAGGGCTTCACAAAGAAGGGGAACAAAGTCTTGGAGGAGGTGAGAGAGCAAGTCACGTGGATACTCTCCAGGCATATGCTGGATTACACAGCCCCCACCCCCACCCCCCGCTGGCCCAGAATGTCTGTCCAGGCAGATGAAGAAGCACAGAGGCTCCATGCCTCACTGGATTGAATGACAGGCCAGTGTCAGCAAAACAAATGAGGGGAAAGTGGTAGAAGATGAGATCAGGGAGTTAGTGTGTGTGGGTTTTTCAGGGCTTTGTGGGCCACTTTAGGACTTTGGCTTTGTTTTGAGATAGGAGAGGAGCTGTGTTGAGAATAGGGTGTGTAGGGCAAGGGCAGGAGTGAGACCAGTGAGCAGGCATTTGCAGTGATCCAGGTAACAGACGATGGGTGCTTAGACCAGGGGGGCAGCAGTGACGTGGTGAGATGTGGTCAGATTCTGCATGTATCTTGAGAGTAGAGCCAACAGGATTTGTAGAGGAACTGGATGTGAGTTGTGAGATAAAGAGAAGAATGATGACTCCAAGGTGTTCGGACTGAGCAACTAGAAGGAAGAGTTGCCATTTACTGAATTAAGGAAAACTACAGGAGGAAGAATTATGGCATTGGGGGAGGAAGGGCATCAAAAGTTCAGTTTTGAACATCCTATATTAGAGATATTTATTAAACAAGGAAAGACTAAAGAAATTGAGACAGCTCAAGGTTGGAGAAGCCCATGTTAGAGATAGAAATTGGGATCACATTTGGATGGTATTTAGAACACGTAGACTGAACAAGATTACTAAGAAGTGAGTGTTCACAGAAGAAGAAGAGTGGCCCAAGGATTGAGCCCTGGGACATTCCAACATTTGCAGCACACTCAGCAGCCCTTGGAAACTTGTTAGAAATGCAAAATCTCTGGCCCCACCCCAGTACCCTGAATAAGGGTAAAGAGAGTTCAGCACTGTGTTTTAATAAGACTTCCAGGTGATTCTGATCATGGTACATTTTGAGAATCACTGGTTTCGAGGCTAGGGAGAAGAGGAGTCTACTTAAGAGACTGAGAAGGAGTGACCAGTCAAGGAGGAAAACCAGAGTTTTTCCAGGAGCAGGGAGTAGTCAGTTTTATCAACTGCTGGTGATAGATAGGGAGACTGAGAACTGACCATTGATTTGGTAATAAAAGAAGGGGGATTTCTGCAATGGGGTTGGTTAACAAAAGGGAGGACGGGATCCCAGGTGTTCAACCACCCTCCCTTTTAGACAAGTCAACTGGTGGCACCTTTCATATATAACAGCATTTTAAATTAACTATCCACTCCATAGCTCTTGCTAATGGAGGAAGGGAGTTGGGGGGGAGCTCCTTTCAGTTGTTCTTTGAGCTGGTAGAGCAGTGTTCTCTACCACATGACCTCTCTCCTCTCAGCCCTAGCTGACTGGACCAAAAGCAGCCGATCTTACAAGCCAGTTAGGAGATGAGCATAGCTATCTGTGTAACAAACCCAGTGTAAGAGTGGCTTACATAAAGTAGAAGTTTACATGTCACATTACAGTTCAAGCTCTGTTCCACCAAATTGTCAGGGGCTCAGTTCCTTCCATGGGGTTGGTTTGCCATTCCTCTGGGGTTAACCTTATCCACGTGGTCCACAAGGACTTGTGTTCCAGCCAGCATGGAGTTTTCCTCTTCCCTTTAACAATCACTTGCTGTCATTTCCCTTGCAAGGGGTAGGGATGATAAGAAATGTAATCTTTACTCTAGGAAGTTTTAGGCCTACCTAGAAGTTGGGAACGCTATCAGAGCAAGGAGAAATAGTCATTGTGGCTTCTACCCAAACAGGGACAGTTAGGCTAATTTGATTTTCTTTCTTGGGAATCTGGACTAGAAAAAGCTGACTACTTTATCGTGGGAGGATAGGGGAGACCATGCACCAGCCTGAAGATACACCCAATCCCAGTTGGGAGCTCCTCAAACTTCTCTGGAGTCTTAAGAGGTGTAAAGTTTTTCTGGCGAGATAAACACAACACCAGGCAAAGTGGGTGCAAGGCAAGATTTATTAAAGGCACTCTCCGGCGAAGTTTCAGGGCTCAGGAGAAGGGGAGCCAGGAAAGTTGCGCCGGGAGGAGGTGGGCACCCTCGGGCGAGGTTCTGAGACTCTGGAAAGCAGAGTGGCGGAAGTCG